TTTGTACACATAAAATATAAACAATTTCACATAAATATTTTAAAGTATAAAGTGTGCATTTTTAGAAAACATCCTAGATCAATAGCAACAAAACATGCTAAACTAGTGTTACCTGTTATCTCCTAGATGACAACACTCTAAGATGAACTTTATAAAGCATAATTTGAATATCTATATGCCATTTAACACTTTTATGAGCCACCTGATGTAATGAATACTGATTACATGGGCAATATCTTATAAAGAATAGCAGCAATATACAATATATTTCCTGTCGATAAAACTACTGGCCATCACTCCAGTAGGACCAGTGGTTACATCTCTGTAGCATACAGATAATTAACGTGTAAAGATTTCATGCTCAGGCAGAAGTTAGGATGAATTCTCCAACCGCATATTGCATAATAATCTGACAGCAGCGATTGAAATGAGCCCTGGGGTGATTTGCTAACTCGCAACAGTCACTGCCTAAAAAGTGTCGCCTTTCGTTATTATGTCATCTACTTCTATTTTCCACTGGGCTTAGGGTCATTTCATACTTAAGAGACCAAAAAACTTGAATGAGCTCATTTATTTTTCTTGAGCAGAGTTTTATTTTCTAGAATCCCACTTGCCCTTAGACAGTGGCACCATGTAAAATGTGAGGAGTCACTGTTGTGGACAGCAGGTCTGTGCCTCAAGTCTAGATATGATTGCACTCACTTCCTGTGACCTTCAGCAAGTTATTTAACATACTGTTTTTTCCTCTGTACAAGAAGAATGGCAGTATTAACCACTCTTCTGGTTATGGGTCAGATCGCATGACTCCATACACTAAAAAACCCTCACAGAGTCGTGTCCTGCACCAATGCTGTGTAAATATTTGCTGTTATTATTACTTGTTCTTTTAGTTGAATGACTGATGGACTATGCAAAGTACTATGTTGGAAACAAAATGACAATATTTGAAAAATACAGCAGTCCTTTATCTGTAGGGGACATGTTTCAAGACACCCCTGTAGATGCCTGATACTATGGATTGGGCCAGGCCCTATATATACTTTAGTTTTCCATGCAGACCTACGAATGTAAGCAGTGCAATACCAGAACAGCTGCAGATGGGGAGGTGGTCTGCACAGTGCAGGCGCAGCAGCGAAGGGATGACTTGTGTCCTAACCAGGACAGGGTGTGCAGAACGAATCGCCAAGTGAAAATGGATGATTATTTCTAAAACTTTCCTTGTAACATTTTTATGCCGTGGTTGACATGGGTAAGTGAAACTGCAGAAGGTGAGCCCACAGATCACAAGAGACTACATTAAGTCAGCGGTTCCCACTTTAATAACTTTTTATTAATTAAGAAGCAAGGAGAAATAGGTGATCATGAGAGGTGAGTCGCTTCTTTAATGTTCCATGTTCACTGCAGGGTAGTCAGGAAAATTTAAACAATGCCATACGGTTCTAGCAAATGATCTTCCCATACAGTCATCGAATGCATCTCTCTCCTAAATCCTGAAAGTGCTCTATTAAACATTTAGAGCTTGGGGTCCAGAACAGAGAAAGGAGGCCAAAAACATGCCACGGTTATTTTATTTATCATGAATCCTGTCTTTTCAAACTATTAAATACTATATTCTTTAAAAACAATGTATTACATTCTTAAATTCATCTGATGTATTCTGGTATGTAAAATTCTGCATGATGTTTACATTTTCAGGTAACGTTTTGTGGACACATGTTTTTATCCATCTTCACAGGGATCGTTTTTCTCTTGAGGCCCTACCACACATCAGCCATTCTGAGACCTCCTGTAGAAACCCTATGTTGTAATACCTAGTTCATAAGCTGGCTTCAAAGTTTCAAAGATTTGTGGCAGGACATATAGCTAATAAAGCTGACTTCTTAACTCTGTTGATTCCAAAATTATGCTTGTATTTCATATAACAATGAACACACAAAATTTTCTCAACCTAAAATGCCCAATGTACGGATAATTTGTCACTGTTCAGGAGTGTATTTGAGAATCCCAGTAAAAACCAGGACAGGGCAGCTGGGTCTCGTGGAATCTAGATATTCCTCGCATTGCTTCCATGCGTGCAGATGGACAGACTCACACTGAATACTTAGGAATATGAGCTTTAAAATACAGTTGGGAGAACCCAGCGTTACGGTACAAAGACAAGCATCATTGTGTGGAGACAGCACTGATGCTTCGTCTGGTACTACTCAGTACAGTACTGACAAGCAAGCGCTGTGCTGGCTGCCTCTCTGATACTGCCAGAGTGACGGTGACCCGCTGTTCGTGTCCTTTTGTCCTTTCCATGGCAGGGGATGCATCTTTACCGAAGATTGAAGTCTGGTTCTACAAGTGCAGAGGCAACTGTCTAGTAGCCCCAGGGCGGATCAACAGCTGCAAGGCCACCCACACACACAACACAGCTCTCAGCTGTCTCTCCGCTCTGCGCCCCAATGGTCTTGACCCCACACAAATGTGGTGTTCTCGCTTTGATGTTTATGAAGAGACTGCATTCAAAATGCAGGATAATGATTCGAGGGTTACAGAAACTGTTATTTATACAAATGTGGTTAGCACCTCATCATTTTAAACTGGCTGCGCTAATAACACTCATTGTGTGCTTTGTTTTCTATTTGTTCCCTCCAAATCTCCAACCTATCTTTGCTCTGGTATTATGTCCTGTGTGCTGGACTAGAATCAAACTCTTAGACAACTACAGGGTCCTACATATAAAGGCACTTCCTCAGGAAACCTCCTACACACAGAGGGAGCCAACTCCAAGTCCAAACACGGGAATTCACCGCTTGGAAGGCTCTGGCGTTGGTGGCTGAGGCAGTGCTCAACACATTCTTTGGGTGCTTCACAAACCTGTTTTTTGGTTGTTGTTGTTTGGTCTTTTTGAGACAGGGTCTCACTATGCAGTTCAGGCTGGCCTTGAGCTCACTTTGTAGCCCAGGATGGCCTCCAACTCGCAGCAGTCCTCCTGCCTCAGCCTCCTCAGTGCTGGGATTACAGGCCTGCACCACCATGCCTGGCAAACCTGTGTTTTGGAGCAGAGAAAAGATCTAAAGTTCAGTGTACTATCTCTACAAACTTCAAATACTTATGCTGAGTTAAATGTCATTTGTTATTAAGAATGGCCTAACCCAGGACACACAGTTTAACTGCAAAGAAATTTCTTCTCCAAAGTATGTGGTAAAAAAAAAATGATTTAATCAATAAAATTATACCCATATATGTATATGCCTAATAAACTGTATCCACAAAATTTTATGGGTAAAGCTCAGGACATAGTTATGACTTCAAATTCACTGTTCTTTTATGCTTAGTAACTTTACTCTCTTCATAGTTGGGATAAACCCACTGAGCACAGGCAGCTTTTAAAATTCTAAACAATGAAGTGAAGCAACATTAAGGACTTGGCCCCTCCATATCCCCACCTGTGACACGCTAACAGGCACCACACTGGGCAGTGTGCGTGTACAGCTGTCTTTAGCAACAAGCTGCACTGGACGGCACTGAGCAGGATGGTAAGGGATTCTGCCCACACCACTGCGTACATCCCTGCTCACCTCCCTTCGTTAAAAACCGAAGAGCACTAAACAAAGCCAAGTGCGTGCTCTGGCTGCTGAGGGGGAGGGTGGGTTGAGTGATGTCGCTCATGGCATTCTCAGTGAAGTAAAATGAAATTTTACAAAATTCACCAGACTTCTAGATTAAGAGGCCTCCATCCAACTCCCTGAATTATGTTTAGCAAACTGGAACAAAATATTAATGTGGTTCTCTAAGCCGGTAAATAGTCTCTAAAGAATCTAGAATTATTTAAGTTCGGTTAGAATGTCTTCCATCTATAATTCTCATTAGATGCATTACCACTCAGCATTGTGTTAAGATACCAGACCCATTTCTAAACCGTTTACCACCCACTTCGAATAGTATTCTCCTTCTTACTCTGCTTTTAATCGAATGCAGAAAAGCCCGCCTGGTGAAACATCTCTCAGGCCTGCCTCTGCCGCGGCAGTCCGCGACACTCATCTACCCTGCTGGCCAAGACTCAGGCTCCTGTCTTCTTGGAGAAGGAGTGAGAGAGCTTTTCGTGGGCGCCGAGAAGTTCCCTTTCCTGCTTTCAGAATTTGTTCTCACTGCCAATTCACCTCAAAGAGTCTTTGTTCTTGTAACACCTGTGGGGCTGGACAGCCTCCTATACCCACCCGCGACACACACAGCGGGGACGAAGACCGGGGATGAGTGTGACAAAGAGCGGAGCGCATTGTCTGTAACTGGAAAACTAGGCAGCTAACAAGCAAGAGCCCAGTAAATTACAATATTCACAGCTCGAGACAAGAGTGCTTACTCTAGGGCCCTTAGAAATACCCCATCTACATTCCAGTATAGTAGCTTTATAGGATATCTTTTAGCAAAGTTCTAGTAGACAGCTGATTTATGTCAAGTTATCATTATTTAACTACACTGTGATACTATTCAAATCATAGACTGATTACTTAACTGCAGGAATTTAGTAAGAAGGAAGAGTTACAACTTTTTGCTCTTTATAGAAGAATAATGATCCCCTCTTTGTTATAAATATAATAAATAATTCTAGAGACTTCCTAGAATGCTTCTCAATCGATGCTATCTCAATGTTTCACTAAGTTTGGAGTCTACTAAGATACATAAAGCCATGGTACTCTGTAGCCATGAAAAGAGTCTGAAAAACTAAAAAATTCCTTTGTTTCACTTATGAAATATATATAATAAAAATCTATATTATAAAAGGCAAAGGGAACATGAGATGAGGGGAAGGAAGGAAAGAAAAAAGCATTTAAAAAGAGAATCAAAGAAAAAAATAAAAATAGAGCTTTTCACAATGGAAAGGGGACTAAGAGCTGGAGAGCACAGGGAGAAACGTGGGGGGGGAGAATGAACACGTGTTATGTACACGTACAAGCCCCCCACAATAAATATAACCACTGTGTACTGAAAACATACTACTAAAAATACATTAATGCATTTTTAAAAAATCTCTATTATAGATGTATGTAAAAATTATACACATAAAATATTAACCGATACAAATAAGCACACACAGCAATACAATCAGTCATAAAAATAACTGGACATAAGCATATACACATAAGGAGGAGAAGTTACCCAAAGGTACCACCTTATCTGACCTACCGTCTTTCCCACGGGAGTGTTTACACTCCCTGAAGGCTGCAATCTGGGCTTTTTCTCAGACCTTACAATTCTCTTAACTTTTGGGCGACAAGGTTTGTATTTTCTGTACCTTCATGTGCCTGCTCACATTCCAGGCTCACGCCTTCTCTGCCATCGTGTTTTACTAGGGCATCTTCTGGCACCTATAAACTGGAATCCACGGGCTCCGTAATAAGCACTGCACTCCTAGGGCCTGAAGACCAGCACAGGCAGGATTAGGTTGCGTGACGGCCAGTCACTATTACAGAAAACCACAGGTGTGAAACACACCGGCTAGAAGGCATCAGGAGGTTTCCCAGAACTGAAACATGTCTTTCTTCACCCATCTGTTTTAAAAGACAGAAAATAATCTGAAGAATTTGGACTTGCCCTCGAGTTAGCCTTCTAGAACTTCTTAATGAGGAATTTTACACTTCCAGTCCTGAATGTAAGTCCCGGAATGATTCCATCCAGAGTTTTAAAGGCGTATTTTGGAATCAGTTAGTAATTCTTCAGCAATGAAGAATTCCAGGTACCCTGAAAATATGGTCAATATTCCAATTCTACGTTGAAGTATTAAAAACTACCAGGATGACTCTAAGTTATTTTGAGTCTTAAACAGGTATTACCTATGAATTTCAAATCCTAAAGCTTTAAAACAATAAATAATGCTAAATTATGCTGGATACTGAGAACATTCATCCCAGCACCCAAATTCCTAGGCAAAAGAATAAGGAAATACAGTTATTTTGTTGAGGTTTTTTTCAATTTTTTTTTTTCTAAATGAAGCAGTTTCTTTACTACTACATTAATCTAAATAGTTACCGTAAATAATACCCTCATGTTATTTGTAGATAAGTGACTGGGGAGAGAAATGGGATGCAATTTCTCCTTACAGAATTGAAAAGCAATGCAGAGAAAGGAATAGACAGAGTTCTTTATCAGACTGATGTCAGAAGAACTTAAATGGTTCACATAATGTATTCAGGATAGAGCTAACAAAATAAACTATCTGACATATTCATTTAAAGATGCATACTTAAGTTTCTGAACTAGTACATTCATCCTTAGAGTCACAGAATTTTTTGCTTAAATATCTTATAGTCAAGATGAACAAATATTAACAGAGGGCATCTCAACTTTATGGCAAAAATTCATAGCCTTCTAACATAAATGACACTTTACCTTTTTCTGTAAGAGGGATCCAACTGGCAACACAATTTTATTTTGGAATAAAATCATTTCTGCAAGAAGAAAATCTGAAAATATTCTCCTCCTTACTTTCAATTTGAAAGCCTTTTTCAATTTTCCTAATTCAAATGAAGGACTATAAAATACAACTATGTGTTTCAAAACTATTTTTTAGTCAAGAAGTAGTTACTCATTTTTATCACTGCGCAAAATTTTGTAAAACTATGATTCAAGGGTAGCATGTGTTAACTTACACTGAAATACTTATCTATGTGAAGTTGTATTGGGATATTTAACATGGTAACACATTCCCGTACTACTAAGGAATATTTGTTCACATTTATTTATATTAAAATGGCAAAACGGTGGTTCTCTAATTTAATAAGACACTAACATTCAAGAGTGAAGATAAATAGAAAAATGCATTTCAAGGTTTGCTGTTTTAGCCACTCAATACACCATCCTTTATGATAATAAACACCAGGCCATAGGCTAATTTAACGTTAGTCATATAATACCTGTGACACTCAGATGGGCTGGAAACATAAGCACGTCTGCTCCGGCGCGTCGTCTCTGGGGGAGGCGCGCGCTTCAGTGTGCAGCAGATGCAAGTGCCACAACTGGGTGCTGGGACGAGGAGGGGGGCCGGGATGGAGCCTTCCCAGTAAGGAGCAGATCACACTCACAGAACAATTTCTGTATAAACTTCACATCTTGGGCAGAATTTCCCAGATACTTCGGGATGATCCTAAATAGCCTCAGTTCTCTTCTCTTTTTGTTTAACAACCAAATACTAAAAGGACATCCAATTTAATAACTTCTAAGGCAGCAATACGAAAGCAAGTCTCAAACTGGATGCAATATTTGAGGCAGATGAGATGAGAACTCTGACGCAAGTTAGGCGCAGGACCTGATGCAGACTACCTGTTTTCCGGCTCCATCATTTTCCTGGCTGCACTGCCCAAAAAGCGAATTTAAGCAAAGTCCATTAGTTCAGGGAAAAAGAGTCTAAAATTCTCATTCTTCCATGCAAAAATAACCTCATACTTAAAATAAATCATCACTTATTATATTGCTTCGTACAGTATAAAAAAGGAAGGAACACCCTAAAACAGGTTTACCAGTAAATCAAAAATTAAAATCAACACCCAAATCAGAAATACTATAATTGAAAACTTTACTATATAGGTTTTCTTAACATTCTACTACACCAAAAAAACAAGATGATACCAATTATTTCAACAACTACAGACAAATACATCTCTGAGCTGGAAGGCAGAAACATACTAACTTGAAAGAGTTCATTTTAATTATGATCGGTACCGCATTTCTTGAAACATCAGTGATAATAACACCACACCGGTATCGATGAGCAGGCTATGTCAACGTGCCATGACCCCAGCAAAGTGAAAGCCTTGCCGGTCAGGCAGCAACGCCTCTTTTTACAAATGTCTGGAGGAAAAACAAATATACAGGGCTGAAAATACCTTCATTTGAGAAAGTTTACAAGAAAAGGGGACACCACAGCCGGCGAATTTCTGGCTCACAGATCCTCACCATTCCCCCACCTCAGAGGACAAAGCACACGTGTCTACCACAGCGCTCTCTGCCTCAGTCACCCGCAGGCCCTGCTATGCTGTCGTCGGCGCTGTCGCTGTCCCGGTCCCAGTCCTTCATGGAGGCCCCCATCATGAAATCGTCCCGCAGAATGCTCCAACCTGGGCCCTCTGCTGATTTCACTTCAGCCTGAGGAGAGCGACAGAATCAACAAACACATTCAGAAATCCATTTAACCACGAGAAATAAAAAGGTCCAAGTGCAAAACAAGCTTTTCTTTTTTTTTTTTTTTTTTGTGATTTTTCTCCGGTACCGGGAACCGAACTCACGACCTTGCGCTTGCCAGGCAGGCGCTTTTGCCGCTGAGCTAAATCCCCAGCCCCCAAAACAAGCTTTTCAACACTTAGTTTTAAGAGACAGGTAAAACCAACACAACTTCTAAACTCACTGGATTTTTACCCTACGATATGTACAAATATATAATAAAGGATTATACAGTAATAAAATATTTTACCTACCTCATAAAACTCATGCATCCCAAAATAAGGAGGGAGGTACAGTAAAATCTATCAATTCTTTAAGTCTTTTGGCAACTAAAACAAACTTAAGGTATTATTTAAACTTCAGTGATAATTTATTAGGAGGTTCTTGGCAAACTATTTCAATATAGACAGAAATTTAACAAATACTTTTAACCCAAAATAAAGGAGAAAAGGAAATCAACCCTGGTACTGTACTAGGCTTTTATACCTCCCGTCTAGTTTAATTAACAATTTATAAAAGATCTGAACCAAACCTTCCTTAAAGCATATTATATCACCGATCCAATCACATAATGCGAGACTAGTAACACGCTAAGATTATAAATAAGTGAAGCAGAAAATAACATAACAGGTAGTCATTTTATATCTACCATGTAGTCACAAGATTGACAAAGGACACCTAAGACAGCCTACGAAAGACAGGCTTCCATTCTATGATGCAACAGTGCCACCTTGTGGTAGTACGAAATGAAATACACGCAGAACTAAGTTGTAAGACTTCATTCCACAAATATTGACTGAGAACTGTGCACCTAATACTGTGCTTAGTGTCAGAAATACACTGACAAGCAGGACAACGCCCTTGCCTCCACAGAGCTAACAGTGTATGCATATCTACTTATTCCCTTTACAGAAATATACAATTTTGGAAAGTTTTAGATAGGAAAGAATGTAAGTACCCTTAACACTTGGCTTGAAAACAATTATCTTTACTGACACCGTTATTAGCCATGTAGAAAACAACTTTTAAAAAGTGCATTGAAGATATTTGCTAGGTTGCAAGAGTCTGCTTACACAACTGAAGTTTTCCTTTATTTAAAAATGCTACAGCCCTAAAACACTCATTACATTAACAATTTTTTTAAAAAAGGACACGATTACAACCAGAAGAAAAATATCCATTGACTCCCTCCTCCATGCCTCAGGTTGAAGATTCAAGCGAAGTTCGTGTCTAAATACAACCCAGAGACTGGACTGCGCAGAAACTTGAGAGATTTCCACATTGGTATGTCCGGTATCAGCACACTTTCTACTCTGATTCAAGCAGCATAAAGAAACAAAAGCCATCTGCACTATTTGAAAAGATCAATTTCTAATGTTTCTCAAGCCAGGCCGCCGGGAGACAATGAAGGAGGAAAGTTGTTTAAAACTCTCCTGCCCGCGTGTGAGCTCCTCTCCATACTCTACCTCTCCAGGGTCAAACCCACCCTCCTGGAAACTGACACACCGCTTCTACTGGATTAAGCAGGGTAAGAGGCCTCTACTGGGTAAGAGGCCATTTTGTGGTTCAGGTTTTGTCAATCTCTTCACCTTGAATAAAATAGGTCTCCAATAAACAGATATCCACTCAGAAACTAGCAATAATAATACCTCCTGTCAAATTGACAACTGAAAGCGTTAGATTAAATTCTGAAAAGTGTACAGCCATAGCTGAGGTACTGACTAGCAAAGACTTGTCCTGCTTTGGCATCTTCGCTTCCACAGGAACACGTGCGATCTGGGGTTCGGGACCCTACAGCCCACGCGCTGTCAGCTACCAACCCCGGCCAGCCAGGTCGCACAGGCTGACCACGCCGCTTGTAGGGTTTCCAGCGCGTGAGGCCTGCACCCAGAGACTCCCTGGGGAAGGGAAGGAGAACACAGACCAAACTTCAAATGTGCAGCTCAGGAATAACGAACTACAGACCAAAGGAAGGAATCGGTTACAATGGTGAAACCAACAACCCCTCCACGCTGTCTCAAAAGACAGTTACTGCAACCATCTACTTTAGGCCTTGAGAATAACAGAATAAATTCAAAGTTTCTCTCAATTATCCAGTTTGAAAAGTTAGGACTCAGTAGGGCTTTAGAGTGGGATTTTGGTGGTGTTCTTCTTGTTTTAGTTCTTAAGGTAATCAATACTGTCTATGACCACTGATCCTTAAAATGGCACCCCCAGGCTAAAAGTATCACTTAGAAACTTGTTAGAAATTAGAAATTCAAAGTCCATTCCAGACCTGCTGAATCAAAACCTCCAGGGGGCAGGGTGCAAGGGATGCTTTTACAAGCTATCTGGTGACTGTAATGCATGCTACAGACCAAGAAACACCCGTCTATAAAAGGAGAAGGATTTCTTAGCAATAGCATGTGTTCACTGCTCTAAGACGAAGAGCACTTCATGGCCCAGAGGGAAGTATTTTAGAAAATCCAATTCGATTTTGGAAATCCCGTGCTAGGCTCAGCTCTGTATGCCTTCAGTGTGACCATGGCTCAATCAACAAACAACGTGGACAAAAAGTAGACAACAGAAAATTTAGCACAAACAAGTGTGGGTTAACATTAAAAACATTCTACAACATCTGTCAACATGAAGGCTCGAGAAAGCATCTTTGTTTCAAAGGCAAATGAACAATCCTGTAATTTTTAATCTGCACAACTGCTGAAGAAATGTGTAGTGAAAAGAGGGCAGAGGGCCCCTGTTGATGTGGGAACTTGAACCTAAACTGCAGTTCTCGATAGAAGCACAAGAAAGGAACTGCTTGTTTTAAAGGTCCACCCTGCAAGGACAAAATAAGAAGAGACCACAGCAACGCCAGGCCAGAAGGAGGCAGGTAGAGCTCTGGTGTGGCTAAGTGTCAGAGGCTGCCCAGCAGGGGCAAGGCCTTGGGCTCCATTCCCACAATGCTGGGGCTCAAGCAGCAGAAGTGGATGAGCTGAAAGAAACTGGGTCAGCGCAGGAAAACTGAGTCCTAAGCCTGTGACCGTGAAGCTGGCAACCAGGCCTACTGACCTTGCGCAGCGTGCAGAAGGAAGGCGCACAGGCAGCACCAGGCACCTCTGGAGTGAGACTGCAGAGCAGGAACCACGGTAAGAAGTGAGGGAAAGCCACAGTCTTGACCCTGCACAGCCCAAGGCCTGCCCTCTGGAAAGGTCCTGGGCGGCCGACAAGGCACGAGGCAAGAGCAAAATCAGGAAAGGTTAGATATATGCCCCAAACAAGGCTGCTCTCTTCTGACACTGGGCTCCTGACGTGTGGCACACAGACCCTTTCCTTCCAGGTAGACAACTCTATAGAAAACCTGATCAATCACTAATAAACCCCCACCCGGAGAATCCTGCAGTGAAGCTTACGATGGGTAACAGCCACAGGTTCAAAGCTGGTAATCACAGTTTTAGGACCACTGGTTCTGATCATGAGCAAACTCCTAAGGGTTGGCTGAAAGAAGGTAGTGAACAACGAAAACAGGACAGCAACTTGCAGGAAAAAGAAATGATTCAAAGAAAAAAAAAATCAAAGGGAAAATGATTAATATTCTCAGCGATTTAGGAGAATATAATGCATCCACAAAAGGATAGTTCCTACTTTAAAAGAAACATTAAGTAACACAAATTCTGAAATTCAAAGCATGGCAGCAGTAATTAAAAACCTGACACAAAGGGGATTAAATCAGACCTGTGTAAAAAGGAAAGAGACTGCTACGGTTTAGATCTAAAATGCCCCATGTGTTCAGGGGCAGGGCTTTCGGTCAGTGAGTGAGTGGATCAAGGAGACAACCACATCAGTGGATAAGCCCGTTAATCCACCTCGGTGAGGTGGACCACCGAGGCTGTTCCTGTGCTGAGTGGACCTCCCTTTCCTGTTCTCTTGCTTTCTGGCTGCTATGACCAAGCAGCTTTCCTCCACCACGACCTTCCAGCAGACCACAGACTGCACCCTCTGAAACCGTGAGCCAAAATACACTTCTCTAAGTTGTGGGTGTCCGTCATTTTGTCATGGGACAGTGGCTAATGTGGAGACGAAACACAGACGAGGAAGGTAACTGCAGAACCAGTTCAGAAGGTTGAATATACAAATGATAGGAGTTCTACAAAAGAGCAAAAATGGATGGGAGGAAATTAATGAAGGAATGAATCAAGAAAATTTCTCAAAATGAAGGAGAATCCATTTCCAGGTTACAAAAGATCCAACTGAGTGCCCAAGCCACACAATAAAAACAAAGTCAGTCAAGGACATCACTAGATTTTTCTGACAATGGGAACTAAAAGAATGAGCCATGAGCTTCCTGGAAGCAAACAAGCAAGTCATATACATACAGACGATCGAGAATCAGAGTACAGTCAGATTTTCCAATAGCAACCACAAGATGAAACCAAGAAGCGAATACTTTCAAAGAAAATACTTTCCAATTTAAAGCTCAAGAACTCAGAACATTATTTTTCAAGTATACGGAGAAAACAAGACTTTTTCAGACACAGGAGACTCCCCAGGAGTTTATGTCCCACGCAGCCTTCCCAGAAAAGCTACTGAGGGTGTTGGCCACAAAAAAAATTGGAGCAAGTCAAAAAGAAAAAGGTATGGGATTGAAAAAACAGGAGATGAAACACAGGAAAGAGAAGAGAATCTCCAGGATCAGAGCAAAGAGGCACCCTGCAGCAGTGTCCGCCTTCACACTGCATCCAACTGGACAAACCCCTGGGGCACGTGCTGCACCAACAGTGGGGAACTCAGAGCAAAAAGGCAGGCACAAAAGCCAGGGAACAGGACAATCAATCGGGGAAAGTACAAAGATCACAGGTAATTTAAATGCCCAAAAGAAGCTCCGGCATAACCTAAGACCTAAGACGGCAATCAATGCAGACAAAGGAGAAAGGCACTTCGACGAAATA